CCCTTTTTATATTTTTTTATTTTATCCTCCCCCCCCCCCAACCGATATGAATGTTGAATGAATATAGTAGGAAAACACACTGTGGCATTGCAGTAGGCCGTACAGCGCCGCCCTGCCTTCCGCTTCTGGCAGTGTCCCAGCTGCTTGGGACACTAAGCTGCCCCCCCCCCCCCCCCCCCCCCCCCCCCCCCCCCCCCCCCGGGACTGCCTTCTCGTCCCGTCGCCTGCCATCCCCAACACAGAGCTGTGACGCCCTGAGCCGGAAAGCGCATCTCCCCTCATCTTCCTCCTCATCATCCCCGTCTAACCTGGGTCCATTGTCTGGGGGGTGTGGCTAAAAGCTCGGACGACATGCAAACGAAGGGAGCCTTAGGTGCCTTTTTTTATTAATATTTTTGTGTTTGAAGTCACACACTTTACTGAAGGAGGAGGATGACATGAATGTCCTGTAGGAAGGACCAGCAATGGACAGTCAGATGCTGCAAATTCCATCGCTCACATGTTGCTGTTATTCACTGAAATTGGAGGAGCCTCAGTCTTCCCAGCAGAGAATGTTTGTTTTGTACATGTGTGCCTTGGCCACGGAGGGTCCCTCAGCGCGGGAAGGTCGCGGGGCTCTCCGGTGCTGCCACATGCCCCAAGCCCTGAGCCTTAACCGTTGTGTGTTTTTGAAATTGTCTGTGTGGAATGATGCATTATCAGACTGTGAGAAGGTAATTTTAGGGGGAGCTAATCGCTCGGCATGCCTCGTTTGTCTGTTTTGTTTTGTTTTTTGTTCCCTCTTCTGAAGTGCCTTGTAGAGAGCAAAGCAAGGTGGTCTGAAAGCATTTCTAAAGGGGGGAAGGTTTTTCCAAACGCCACATGCCAGGTGGTTGTCTGCCTGTTTTGCCCGAAGGACCTTTTAAAAGGTGATTATTTACATTCCCCCCCCCCCCCCCCGTGTGAAGCGGGCCAGGCATGTAGTTTTCCTCATCAGGCAGATGTGTATAGCCCCCTCCCCATTGCTGATTTTGCTGATTGGCCAAAGGAATGAGGGGAGAGTCCTCTCTCTTCATATCAGATGTTTTTTAATCGATATCAGTCCTTTTTCACCAACATAAACGTTTGTTTTAATATTGAGTAAACCCTTCAGCACTTAACGTGACCCTTTGTGGCGTGTCAGGTGCTGGGTTTGGTTCAGGCAGGTTTGAGAGCCTCTGAAAATGGCCCAGCGAGCCAGCTGGCCCGACCGTGCTTTGGGGGAGCTCTGACCACACACCTTGCTTTGGTTTCGATCAGCAGTTTGAGCCGCTCGCCCCGGCTTGATGTACGTCTGCCCTGTGCCGGCGACAGCTTGGCCCAGTCAGTCAAATGCTGGACGTCAGCGTCTTGAACTGCATTTTTTTGTTTGTTTTTTTTTGTTTGTTTTTTTTTCTAAGGAAAAACCATTTCAACTAGTTTTATCATTGTATGGTGCTGGTATAAATCAGTGTACTTCTTAAAATAAAATCATTTTCATAACTTCAGATGTGTTTTATATTCCAGTTATTTTATTCATCATGTGTGTATATGTATATATATACATTTATTTAGTTCTCCTTTTTAGCTTCTTGTAATTGAAGCTGACCTTTGGCGATTTAGCTTCCCTGCTGGAAAATTCGACAGGTTGGAGCTTCTTAGAATTTTAGTGGCCTTGATGCCCCCCTCCCCCCCGCTCGCTCTCCCGGGAGTCCAGTCTGGGGCGTGGGAGCGGCGCTGTGGTAGCGAGCTCGCTCCTGGAGGGAGCCTAGCGGACGCGTTTAGCGTAGCAGCCAAGCGCGAGGCCCTTGGGATAAGGTTACCTTTTCTCCCCAGGCTGGTTGTGGGGAGTCGGGTCTCTGTGGCTGAGGGGAGGAGCCGGAATCCTCTCTTTCCCTAACTGCGTGGGCAGCGGATTTCCACACTGCACTGTCGGAGGGAATGACACGCAGCCAGTTTTTTTTTCTTTTTCTTTAATAAACATCTGAAATGCATGTTTATTCCAGTGGCTCAGTAGCATATTATAGTCTTTGCTTCTTTACAAAAGTATGCAGAGTTGGAGAATAACTCTGCATAATAACCCCGTCCGTTCCTGTTTCTTGTAGTTTTTGACCCAGATTTTCCTGTAGCTTTTAAGTTTTTCCCTATCCTATAAGTAGTTTGGGATTGGTGTTCTGAGGGACGCCCTCCCACCAGGGCGGACCGCTTCTTCCCTTCTGTCTCCTCGTCCTGTCTTAGGATGTCCCCTGGCAAATCTGAGGGTAAATAAAGGGGCTCGCCCCCGGCCCTGTCCCCCAGAGACCTGCCACTTATCATGGGTGCGGCGGAAGATTCCAAAGTCGCATTCCTGCCTGGGGCGCCGTGTTAGCTTAGGCCGCCGGCCAAGGCATTACACCGCTACCTTTGCCCCACCCCCCCACCCCTCGCTCCCCCCCCTGTCCAGGGTGCGGTGGTTAAATTGTAAACCAAATGCTACTCAGCAGCCGGGCCTGCGACATTCCTGACGCCGGGGATTAGTTCCGGGTCATGGAACTGCCTCTCGTCTCCTTTTTGGTTTGTCCTGCTCTCTCCACCCCCC